GGGTTTTTTTTTTCAAGGCCATTAATTACACAACAGAGATGTATCTGCACCACTCCACCTCTCCACACTCAATAAGGGCCCCACATATATTCCCTACGATGTATCACCATCTGTGTGCAGTGCCACCACCTGCACTGGGCACCTGGGAAAACAACCTGTTGGAGTGTGACGCTGGCTCTTGTGTCTGATTTTCTGAGAAGAAGTAAAGGGGCACTCCAAGTATGCACCTTTAAAGCATGTCTGAAATACGTGAGCTGAACTGGTTGGGAGGGCAGGAGGTGGTGGCAGAGCTGGAAAGCTTCAGGGGGACAAGGAGAAGATCTAAGGAGCTGTACCAAAGCACAGTCAGTGCACGGGCAGCATATGGACTTGCTCCAGAATAATTCCCTGTATTTGCTTAGTGTTGTGAAGAGCCAACCTCATCTTCTGGTGCTTGGAAGAACCTGCTGGAGCTCTTATTGGTCCTTTAAGGAGCTTGGACTTCTTCCTCTGTATGACATTCCTCTGAGCCTTTCCATGGCAATGCTTTTAAAAAAAAAAAAGGGGGGGACGATGACAGGAAATTGTGATGTGCTTAGCTGTTAATACAGACACAGACCCACAGACCCATTCTCCTTCTGCTACTGTATTTGTTGAACATTTTTGACGTGTATAATCAGACAAAACTTGGAGCCTTCCAGGCTCCCTCCGCAAAAAAAAAAAACAAACCAACAAAACAGAGGAGAGGGGAAGCATTCTTCCTTATCTACCCTATCCCACCCTTCTCAGAAATCCCATTTAGGTGTCCACTTTGGCATCTGGGGATGACCAAGAGATGCTTTCCCTTCCATAGATGGCAGGGAGAGAGGAGACACATCCCTCTCTCCCTGGGACGATCTGACCCTTTGGTGCACCCAGCCCTCAGCTTCCTGGCTTTGGCCAAGCTGCAAACAGTGCCTTGAGTTTTAAAAGATGCTACAAGAATCTGACTACCAAGTCTGTCCACTCTGCAAAAATGCAAGTTTGTCCTCCATATAAATAGGGGTGAAAACACCTGTGCCTTTAACTGCTGTCACAAATTCTTCAGGCACAATGCAATAATATACCTCTCTAGAACTTCAGTTTTGCAGTGTTCAGCAGCATCCAGATCCTTTGTGTGCATCTGCCAGCAACCCTCGAGTCTAATGAGTGCCCCAAGGCATCAGCAGACCAGGGCAGGATTTGCTCCAAGAGTCCCTTTTCCCCCAGAACATGCCAAAAAGATGACCCTGCCCATATAACAACCCAGCAGCAGACACAAGGAGACCTGAGCAGACCCTCTTGGCATCCACTCGTTTGCTCCTTGCTGACCACAGGCCCGAGGTGAATTATTTCTCCCGCTCCAAGTTCTTTGACTTCAATTTCATGCAGGGACCTTACATATATCACATCCCCTGTCGCCAATGAATCTCTCCAGTTCAAACAGTTCCAGTTGCCCCGAGATCAATATATTTTAGCAGCACACAAGGACACCGTGTTATTGCCAATTTCCTGGGCTGTACAAAAAAGGTATCACTTTCTTAAAGCCACTGAAAAACGCTCTGGGCCAACTAAGATTACTTCTCTGCCATTAAGTGGGTGCATTTAGGACTCATCCTGATCACTGTCTGTTCTGTCTTGTGATGACATTTTCTGCCATTCTTCAAGGACAGGAGATGCCAACTCAGGAACCGTTCCCACCCTCCTGTGGTCTAATGTCAGTAGCATAGTCTGATTGTCCTCACTGTTGACAAACAAGAATATGAGGTGTCTTACAAATAGGTACCGTGCAACTCAAATGCCAAGAAATCCCCTTCCTGCTCATTGGGAAATAAGCCAAATGAGCACCAATGGGTGCCTTGGTTGAGCTGGGATTAGGTGACTTCTCCCACCTCTGCCTGCAAGGTCTGGCCTGGCTCCAGCTTTCCTGTTCTTTCCTCTGTCCCTTGAGGCCCTTGGCAACGTGTAGGTGGCCACCCAGATCCACTTGGGTGGGCTCTGATGGGCAGTGCCATTGGGGGCTTTGCAGATGGGCATCCCCTGGACATCCCAATGGATTGAGGTGGAACCCAGGAGCTTCCTATGATGCTGGGGTGGAAGCTGTGCTCCTCCCAGTCCTTCTCTCTCCATCTCTGCCTCTCTCTGCTGCAGGTCCAGCCATGCCCTGGGCTCTCCTCGTCCTCCTGCCGCTCAGGCCCTGTTGTCAGGCAATGCCATGGGCTGGAGTTTGGGGTGGAGGCAGCTATTGTTCCAGCTATCTGCAGTGTAATGTTCCTTATGACTGTATTAAATGAAGGGCGGAGGTCACACATCCCCAGTTTAAATTAGGTTTGGGCTGACCTTTAACAATATTACACTCGTGGATCCTCTCATAACTCACGGCATAAACTCCCTGAGGGTTTTACCACCTCCCTCTCTCCTTCCTACTGTAAGGATGCCCGAGGCTTAATGCGCTTCTCTCCTATTTCGCTTTGATTTCTAATCCCATCCCCTTCTCCCCCTTCGCCCCCCTAAATACAGATATATTCACTCCTTTAAAGGTGGGGGAAAGAACCTGTTCCTTTTCTCTTCTGGGCGACAGCTCTTTCTTTTGTGTCTCTTTCTTCCCTTCCCCGCCCCCCTCCTCTTTCTTGACACAATGCACTATTTATTTGCACTGAAGGATAACTAAGAAGCAATTAAAAGATCAAAAGGCACAAGCCCAAGTAGACCCAACTCGGCAACTTGTGGGGTGCATTTTGCTGCTGCCGCCGAAGCTGCACCGAAAGGCTGCCTTGTTTGCCCCCCAGTCAGAGGGACACCTCTCTTATTGGGTCGCCTCTTCCTCAGAGCGGACTTTTTTATGATCGCTATTTTTCACCCCCATTGTTTGCTATTGCAGTTGTTTACTGGAAAATCACTTGTTTTTCTCAGGGAGATTAACCCCCTCCAAGCTTTCTTTTGTCTCCTTTCAGGAGGTCCTTGCGCTGGGCTGGGGGAAGGGAAGGGAGCCGACTCCTTCAGCTATTAACAGGGGCTTACAGCCCCCTGCCAAGGCAGAGTCCTTCCCTTTGATGGGGTTTTGCTTGCAGTGGGGAGAGGTGCTTGATCTTCCTCAAGGAGATGAATAGAAAGCGAGGACCAGTGGTATGGATGTTCTGAGTCCTGGGCATCTCAGAGAAACTCCCACAGCCAAACGTGGGCATCAGTGGAGATGCCTCTTTGCGGAGATGATGCCAGTGGGACTTCTCAAGAGCTCGTTCTCTTTGACAGCCAGACCAATTCTTCTCACTAGGAGCTGAGATCTAATGCCCACACTGGAGCATGCTGAGCACACAAGTGCTTTCCCAGCATCATGCTCCTCTCCCAGGCATGCTGGCTGCTCACCACCCAACACCAGGGAGTCTGCTGGGTACAATGCGCAGTGACACAACCCAGAGGACAGCCTGCAGACGAGAAGGATGCTGGGCAGGGGAGGACCTCCAAAGCTCAACAGGAAGGGACCGGTCCCGCTCAAGCCTCACATTTTCCTCGGCATGTTTATGGCAATTCCAGCTGTTCAGAGAGGCGCCGAGTTCTCTATTCTTGAAAGAAAAAAAAAAAACCAACAAAAAAGAGTTCTCTCTGTGCACGTCATTGAGATTTGCTGAGCTCTCACCCCTTCGTGCCACTGCCTACCATGAGCACCACCTGCGATGTGCAGCCCGCGGCGCAACGCTGGCAGCTCTGCCCCTGCCTGCTGTGGGTGGGTGCATGCTTTGCACTGCAACTTGAGCTGCGCATCCCTGCGAGCTGACAGCCACCCGTGCTGTGCCTACCATGCGAGTGCTCCGGAACTTTGCCGCTGGTGGAAAACAAGTGGGGTCCTTGCAGCCCACCTCTGGGGCAGCCACTTCTCAGCAGGGCAGGTTTTTGGGAAGTGAATTGTGCACAATGTGATCGCTGTGCAGCTCCGGTGGTGGAGCGGCAGTTGCAACGGGGGCGAATTCGGATCACACACTGCTTCATGGCAAAGCCTGGGAAAAGTCCTTTGGCTTCAAAGCAATTTCTTGCACAAGCTGGCATGTAACAGGGGCAGCCCAGAGAGCAGACACTGGAGGTGCCGTGGGGTGCCAAATCCAATTGTACCCGCGCAGCATGGGCATCCATGCTGTCCCTAGAGATGTGTGCAGGCAAAGCGGAGCTAGCATCTGCCAACACAGGGGTGTGTAACACGGGGCAGGGCCCCGGTGTGAACCTGGGTGGCCGTGCTCCAGCACCCCTGCGTGCCCGCAACTGCCATGCAGATGTTGCAGGGCCAGCACAGAGCAGGACGGATGGCACAGCCACCTGTGCCCTGCGCGCAGTCAGAGCGGGACCAAAAAACAGGGCAGGCATGGCCAGATCCCGCTGCTTCCGATCACCCCACAGTAGTTTCGGTTCCCCGGAGGGCAGAGAGAGGCGGCTCAGCACAGCGGGCAGGGGTTGGGGATGCAACTCCCCAGCCGCCCGCTCTCACCTGCGGGGGGAGGCGGAGGATGCGCGGCCCCCAGCCCACCCAGCGGCCGGCAGGGGTGGGCTGCAGCCCCCTCCCGGGCGGGGAAAGCCTGCGGCTTGAAACTTCCCGTCGCTCCCCGAGCTGGACTTCGCAGGGTTACGAAGAAGGGAGGGAGAAAGAGGGAGGGATCGCTCTGCAACATTATTGGCTGCGTGGCCGGGCTGGTGCTCGCTGGGGAAGTCAGAGCATGCCCATTCGGGGGGGTATAAAAGGGGGGCAGCTAGAGCGCCTTGCCCGTCTCCTCGCTCGTGGGGCAGCCAGCCGGGAGCAGCGGGCAGCAGGCAGCCGGCCCCTCCGCCCCAGCCAGGGGACGCAGTCAGTAAACACCACAACAACCAAAAAGTGAGAGCCACCCAAGGGGCAGTCAAGGCAGGAGGAGAGAAAGAGGAGGAAAAAAAGGAAAAGGGGGTTAAACCAGGAGAGAGAAAAAAAAAAAAGAGAGAGAGAGAGAGAGAGAGAGAAAAAGAAAAGAAAAAGGGAAAAAAAAAAAAAAGAGGGATAAAAAGAGAAAGAAAAGGAGAAAGAAAGGAAAAAGAAAAAAAAAGGAGAAAGAAAAGGAAAGCGCTCGTCTGCTCTCTAGAATAACAAAATACCTGATCGTAACAAAATAACATCCTCCAGACCAAATCAAGCAGGGACTTGACATACCAAAAGGCAAAGCGAGGAGAGCGAGCCAGGGCGCGGGGAAGGAGAGCCAGAGCCGCGATCGCTGCCAGGGCCGGACAGCAGCATGGCAAGCGCCGGGGCACACACGGATGAGCGCTGCCGGCAGCCTGCCTTCCTCCCCGGCCCGCCGCCGACAGAAGTTGAGAGCGGCAGCGGCAGCGCCAAGGTAAGCGCCGCGCCGAGCCGTGCCGAGCCGCGCCGGGCAGCGCCGCGCCGAACCGGGCAGCGCCGCGCGGTGCCGGTGCCGCGATGCCGGTGCCGTGCCATGCCGAGCCGATCCGAGCCGCGCCGGCTCCGCCGTCCCCACGCGTGTCGCTAGAGGGACCCCGAGAGCCGGCCCGCGCCGCGCTGCCCGCCGCCGACTCGCGAGCCGCGCCGCGGGGGTGCGGGGCGGCCCCGGGGGTGCCCCTGCCCGCGTCCTCGCCGACGCTTCGGTTGTTTTGAACGCGGGCCCGCGGACGCCGCGCACCTGGCGGGGGGACGATGGCGGCGGGAGCGCTGCGCGTCCTTTGCGCGCCCCTTTGCGCGCGGGGGGCGGCGCGGGGCGGTCCCGCGTGGGGGGCGGCCGGCAGCAGCGCGCGTGTGCGGGCAGCCGCGATCGTGCGTGGGCCGGGCTGGCCGCGGGGCCGGGGCTATGCGAGGTCGCGGCGCTGCGCGGCCCCCCGGCGCTGCGCGGCGCGATTTTGGAAGCGGGGAGACGGGGCGGCGCGGCGCGGCGCGGGGAAGGGACGGGCCGTTCCGCGGCTCCGAGAGCGGGGGGGATCGTTAAACTCTTCCGAAAAACAGCGCGGCGCGTTCGGTCTCGGAGGGATAAAAATACGGAGAGGAAAAACAAGAGAGCGAAGCCAAAATGGAGTGAGAGTTAATGGTTGGCATGGAGCCCTCGACTTCGTGTGATTTTTTTTATTATTTTTTTTTTCTTCCCTCCCAATTGCTTTTCCCTACAGTAATTGTTTTAAGAGAGCAACTTGGAAGGGTTTTAGCACTCCGTTGAGCAGTGGGGAATTGGGGCACATGAGGAAACAGAGATTCCGCACAACCGTACCAGCAGATGTGGCCACGGTGTGCTGTGACAGTCAGGTCGGGGCGAGCACCTGGAGAGCACCGCTGCCTTCCACCCTCCCATGGGAAACCCGCAATGTCTTCCCGATGCCGGGCTGAGCTTGGGAGGCCCAGGCCTGGCTTTCTTTGTTTTTATTTGTTGTCAGGTTGCGTGTGCGGGTGTGCGTGTGCGTTTTCTTCTTTCGCTCCGCAGGGCTCAGCGCGTTGGGTTGGTTCCTCCTCCTCCTGGCGTGATTTACAGCAGAGCTGAGGAGCCTGGGTCATGGGTTTTGTAGGGGTGACTTTGTGCTAAGGACATCTGGAGGAATAAAACTGACTGACACTTCTGATTTGAGCTCTGCTGAACTGTTTTGGACCCAACTTGACAATTTCGGTGGGGGTGAATGGGTCAGAGCTGTAAATCTCGCTTGGCGGTGTCGACACCCACACAAGTTCACTCAGCCTTTCAAAGGGGCTATCCCGGCTCCTGTGAAAATTCATTAAGGGATAAAAGATTTGACACCGCGGGTCCCCTCCCACCGCCGTGTGAAATTGGAGAGCCCGAAGGTGGCTGCGTGTGTGTCCCGGGGCCCTTTCTGACAGGTGATCCTTTTTGCAGCCTGCCCGCGGGCTGCTGCTTTGACCGAGAGGCTCGGAGGTGTCGGTGCGTGGCTTTCCATTGATTTCTATAAGCTTTGGAGCTGGCCTCGCAAGGAAAAGCACTTCTGTACATCTTTTCTTGTTTTAAATAAAGCAAACACAGCAGGTGAGGTCTTATTTTTAGAGGGACCGAGGCGCTGGTGCGGATCCAGAATCGCATACGAGCGCTGGAAGTGGCCCACCCTATCCCGCCCATGTCCTGGGGCTGACCTCCCGCTCCTCTCCGGCTTGGCTCTGCTTTTTGAGGCTGCTGGGGCTGTCGGGGCAGGGAGATGCAGAATGAGGGGATCAGGAGGGATGGGGGAAGAAATCTGTGTGGGGGCCACAGTGTGGCTCCGAAAGGGTTAAGCTGTCTGTGCCAAGACATAAAGCAAGTTCAACGTGTTGTGGGAATATCAGTTGCCAGTAAACTCCAGTCACCACAATTTCTGATTTAACAGCTTAACTTGCTGTTAACTTTCCCTGATACGCTCCAGGTTTTCGACGTGGAGGCAGAAAGGAGAGAGGAACAATAGAGAAAGAAGTTAAGTGAGGCTACTAAAATGGACTTAAATCCCTTCCCTGGGTCCTGCCAGCTGTCTATAGAAGAGTTAAGCAAGATTGCATTTCCTTTTTTTCATGCCATAAATCAAACGTTTCTGGGCCGCCTACCAAAATTTGTGCAATACTCCCCAGTGGGGTGAGTAAATGGTACTGAATACCCCATTCACCTTTCGGAGCCTGATTTTTCCGCAGCTCTGGCAGCGCTGGCTATGGGGCGCAGGCATGGAAAGGTGACCCCTGGCACGGGGCTGCTGATGGGGACAAGTCGTGAAGACAAAAAAGCAAGGGCTAAAAATAGAGGCGGCATTGCCAACCTCAGCCATATAAGTGTCATACGAGCCAGGTGCCAAGAATGGTGAGTTGTGTGGTTTTTTTTTTTTTTATTTTTTCAACCCCAGTGATTAGAGCTGAGCAGCAGAACTCTTCAGCTAGGGTGAGTTTTATTTGCCTCAGCGGTCAAAAGTTTTGCTTCCTTCGAGCTGGGTTTACACCCTTTCTCCTTTAGAAAGAAGCTTTTGCAGTCTGGAGCCTCCAGGATAAGGATTTGGGAAACGCCAGGTGCACATGTCTGAGACAGCAAGAGGGATGTGGGATGCTCCAGACCGAGGCACAGCAAATGGACTCCTGTCCCTTGGGTACCATGGGCAGCTCCTCCACCCCAGCTGCTTTCTGGCTGGCAAGGCACCTTTATCTCTGTGCTGGCCTTTGCTCTTTGGCTCTTGAGGGCATCACCATGCCTGTAGGCAGAGATAGGGGTCCCTGGTGTGACGTGGTGATAGTAGGTGTGCATCCACTTCCTTACCTCAGAGAGCTGTGCTCCAATCAAGGTCAGTGCCCTGCTCCCTAAGGAACATCTGCACACTGCATCATGTCCCCTCTCCACTCACAGCGGCAATGCACTCCATCTCATATCTGTAGGCAAAACCTTATGGCCCTGTGCACACATTTCAGTATGCAAGGGATGCTATGTCTCCAGCTGCATGCTGGGATAGAGATGCTGTGACTGCGGGCGTTGCTTCCTGCACAAGCGTTGGGCATCTTCTGCGGTAGAAGGATGTCCAATCTGCCCGCTTTTTTGGAAGAATGAGATGCAAAAAGTTGCTTTTCCCCCCACCCTGCAAGCAAGTTGGGGTTGGACTGAAAACTTTTTGCCATTTTAGATGCTCCACAAAGAGCAAGATTCTTTATTTTTATTTTTGCTGTCCAAATCCAAATTTTGCAGACTGGGCCATCTGTCAATTCCCTCCTACGTTGTTCTGTTCATATTAAATTGTAACGAAGGCCAGACTGAAGAAGGAATTAGGTCAGACAGGAGGTTCAGTATCCATTTTTTGGGAGATGTTGCCCAAGAGAGAGGCACCGTGGTTCGGTTGGCTCAGCACAAGCCTGGATGCGAAGGATGCCTGAGCCTTCCTCTGCTGCACGCCTGCTTTGGGCTACTCCCATCACACTGGTGCTGCTCCAAGGGGACTCTCCATAGTTGTGCCACCACCAGCGTGACCTGTCTGTCACAGGGCTGCAGAGAGGTGCTCAGGCTTCCCCAAACACAAAGAGCACTGTGCAGGGTGGCCACATCACTGCATGTCCATGGCAGTTTTCTGGTCCCATATGTGCCACAAGACAAGGGGAGAAGCAGGAGCCTCCTTGTTTGCTATCCTGGTTGAAACTGTGTGCGGCGATGCATGACCACCTTCTGTGCACCTACTGAGGGATGGCAGTCAGTACAAGTAATTCAGCTGCATTTTGCAATGATGAAACTTAGATGGATGTAACATCTCTTCTAGTGTTGTGGGGACCTTATCCTTCAGGAAAACACCCATTGCACGAGAGAGCCTTTGCAATAAATATGAAAGCTCAAACAGCTTTGACTCCTGATGCTGGACAGAGCTTAGGCCGTAGTGATGGAACATGTATGCACATGCAAGGCTCAGAGGGCTTCATACTCCTGCCCCAAGGGGGCTGTGGAGGCACAGCACCGAGCACCCAATAGTTGAATTGAGAAGGAAGAGCTTATGCTGGGTCTCCTTCAGTGTGGTGTCAGCATCGGGACCATCGCTATCCTCATGGCTTCATCCCACATAGATAGCAAGAGGGAGACTTCCTGATTGGTATTTAAGGCTTGGACAACCAGTAAGAGCTGGAGGCAGGCAAGGCTTGCACCTGCAGCACAAGTTTTGCAGTAGTTGGTGTTTTGCAAAGGAGTAGAACATATCAGGTCTCCCTGGCATCAGATATCACCCTGCTGACAAAAGATTGAGCTAGGGGGTGCTGGGGCCAAAGCAGTCCTGCTGCAGATGATGCACCCCAATGGATCCTTGCCATAGCAGGGGCATTGTTGGAGGGGGGGAGGAGATGAGGTGCTGGAGGCATGTGCCTGCAGTGCCTAGCTGGGGGGCAGAAAGCAGTTTGGGCATCCTGATGCCCCACTCGGGCATAACGTGCACATGAAAAATACAGGAAAAAAAAGAGAAAGAAAAAGAACAAAACCAGCATAGGATAATCACTGGCTTTTTGTGAGGGGATTGTGTTGCTGATGCTGCCGTGACTCAAGCAGTGCAGGTGGTGCTGTGACAACCATCTCCACTACTTTGGAGAGCTTATGACTTGGGATCATGGCTTCTTTCTGACACTACTGGAGCTCTGTGCACATAATGGTTGGTGGCAAGGGTGGCTTTATTGCTGGCAGGGCCACAGCAGGGCCCTGGGGGAGCTGGGCTAATTTCCTGGCTGTGCTGCAGACTTCCCCTGTGACCTTGGGTGAGTCATTTAATCTATCCTGGGCTTCGGCTCCATCTCTGAGCATCCCATGGGGGTGAGGTAATATTCATTAACTGATATTATTCTCGAGTTGCTCCGATGCTATGGTGATGAAAATGGGAGGTGAAACCCAGTGCCTTGGCTGAGCATCAGTGGGGAGAGGGGATGCTCTGCTTGAGTTTTAGCAGCCAGTATGGGTGAATGCAGTTTTGACACAATTCCCCTCTTAATTTTTTGCTGTCCTCTTGGCCACCTCGGTTATTTGGCTGTATTAATGCAGTGATGCTCATCACTGAGGGACAGAATGCGGATGTTGCATCATGCAGTGCTGTAGTAGCATCGTCGTGCTGATATCCCCAAGAACCGTTCTGCTTCTATGGTGTGTCTTTCTGGTTCCAGTCCTCACCAGCAAACATAGCTTGTGCAATCAGCCCCTCGATTGCCTGGGGTGCATGGGGAGAAGGCCACTATTTTCCCAGTAAAAGCCAGCTTTCTCCAAAAACAGACAAAGTTCATTCATTTTGGCTTTGGGGAAGCACGTGCTCAGGTAGGACATGCCAGTCTTCCATCTAACACCCTGCTTCTTTCCCCAGGTGCAGAGGATGTGTGCAGCCAGGCAGATGCTGCTGCTACTGCTGGCCTTCCTGGCCTATGCATTGGATTCAGCTGCGGCGTATGGCACGGCAGAGACCCTCTGTGGTGGGGAGCTGGTGGACACGCTGCAGTTTGTCTGCGGGGACAGGGGCTTCTACTTCAGTAAGTGCCACGTGCTTACATGATGCTCAGTACCTACCTCATGCTATGCTGTGGAGCTGGGATGGGAAGGATGGGTTCTCCACCCCAGTGCTTTTTAAAGGTGGTGTTGTGCATGGTGAGAAAAGGAGCAAGATGAATAATGAGCTGAGGGATGGTCCAATGGGGAAGCTGGGTCCTGTGTTCCATGCTCAGATATAGCTGGGCAGTAATGATAAGTGGTTGGTTCACTGTTGATATTATTTTGAAGACTTCCCCATGAGGATTTCTGCTGAGCTGGGATTCTGGCTTGTTTTAAACTCAGACAGGCTCTGCTTGGATATATCCACTGGTTCTGAGCTGCTCCCACCTCTCCAGATGACTTGCTAATGACACTGATGTCTGATCTTCTAAACAGCATAGCCAGTGCCAAAAAACTGCAGTGTTGCTGTTGTCCACAGAGTGCAGGGGTCTTTGGGGGTGCTGCCTGGAGCATGCTTTTCTTGAATGTTTTTGAGGTTTGGACCATACATGTTAGCAGCACAAGAGCTCAACTAGTAGACGAGGAGGAGTAAGGTGATGGATGTTTGGTAATACAGATGAGGGTGCCTTAGTTGTGATGCCTTCTGGTGGCATTATAGTATCCTCCTTGCATAGGAGAGGCAAGAGCCCGTGTCCTGCAACCCACTGTTGACTGAACTCTGTAATATACTACAGGAAATACACAAGGCATAGCAGTAGGGAAAACAGCACAGGTAGCAGCTGCACCTGGCATCCTTACCTCTACTTTGGGGAAACTTACATTATAACGATACACTCTTGACTAATGTAGTGAGCTGTTTCTTATATAGCAATCTTGAGAGCCACCCTCCCTCTATTCCCAATCTAGCATTTGGGGGAAGTGAGATGCTGCAAGCTTTGGAGAAGACCCTTGCAACGCGATGGAAAGTGCAGCAATGATAGCAGAATAGCAAGGTCCCAGGCTACAGCAAGTGAGAACTTGCTCAAATGCAACAGCCATAGGCACTGAAATAAAAGAAAGAATCTGCTTACCTTCAGAGAGCCACAGGCAGGCAGGGACCTTCAGCAAGATCCCTTTGCCTCCACTCCAACCCTTAAATGAGGTTTGGGATTAGGGTGCATTGCATGCACCTGAGCTCCCCTGGATTGGCCCTGCCTTCCCACCAGGTGCTCAATCACTGGTTCAAGGCATGACTTTGCATTTCCACTACAACCCAATACCCAGCCAAGCTGGGCTGCAGTTGGCTGAGGGTTACTTCATCCATCAGCTGTGCAGGGACAGGCTGTATGGTTCAGCTACCATCAGTCTTCAGCCTGTGTTACTTCACAGGTGCGGTGGCATTGCAGGTGGCTTTCCTTCTAGCCAGGCCCTGCAGGTGATGGCTTTGTTCTGGTGATGTAATGTTTTTGGGAACACCTTTCTCTCTGAGCCTAGCTAGGGGTTTGCACCATAACTGCCCTTCCTCTCCTCATCTCCCCCTTTTCTCCTACCACTGAGCCACACCGGGATGAGGGGACTGGGTTTTGCCTTCCATATCCGTGGCAAGCTCCCATCTCACTCTCATACCTCTTCCTCTCTCTATAGAGGAGCATCCACCTCCCTCCCCTTGCTTCTCCTTTCCTCCCCCTCTCTGGGGATGAAAGGGAATGGGGCTTTTGTTTTACAGACAAACTGACCTCCTTTCACCTCAAATAACCCATCCTCTCAGTCCAAAATAAAAACACTTTTGAAGGCAGAAACGTAGCTTTGTGCCAAGTGACCAGTTTGGTGCTCACAAGGGGATTCTTGCTCTTCTTTTTTCACCTGTCTCTTTCCTTCTTGTTGAATGTTTCTGGAGAGTTCTACTACTGGGGGATGAAGGAAACCCCACCAGTCCCATATTTCATCTCTTCATCTTTCCATCCGTTAAGGCTACAGTGAATGTACATTTGTCACTGGTTCTATTCCATGTTCACCTCTTTCTTCCCCCTAGCTTCATCAGTTGGTGCAGTGAAGACATTAATTCTTCTGCCCATGTCAATCTTCACTCCTGACCTCTCATGGCAAATGTTATTCCCACTGCACAGACTCTACAGGGCATGTTTATATTTCACAGTCCTGGTTTATGTCTTTAAAACTGAGGCTGGGATTGTCCTGACCAATTGTCTATCTGCTGTTGGCATGAGAAGTGCAACCTGAGGACAAAGCTGTGCCAACAGTGTGTTTCATACATGAGGTAGATGACTTTGATGGTCTTGTCTCACAAGTACAGGTGGCTCTGCAAGCTGGAAAGGGCTTGCTTCAAGCAGCTGCCTAGTAATCCTGAGAAAAAATGGAAATGGCATGAAAACCTGCCACTGGTTTTCTGCTGCTGCAGTAATTTAAGCTAAGGTGTAGCTATTCCCTATTCCAAGATGCAGCAGTTTGCATCTGGATGCAGTGTGTCTGCAGTGTTTCATACCCCTGGTATTCCAGGGTGGGGAAATATACAGCGTAGACTGAGGAGGGTGCACCCTTATGATAGAGATGCCTGTCTGTCCATTGGCACAGAGCATGAACCCAGCTACCAGGTGCCTTTGGAAATAGCATATGGACTGATGCTTGGGGCTCAGGACATTGAAGATGCCTACCAAATCCCATAATGGAGGTGTTTCAGCACCACTGGCATTCCACTGTAGGGCTTTTACTACTTAGATCTCCTTTAAATCTTGAGGCAGCTGTTATACGTGACTTGTTTGTGAAAGAGACAACACTTTGCATGGCACACCCTTGGAGATGAGTGCCACTGTTCTCACGGCATGCCCTTGCCACATCCCCGGTTGCACTTGAGACCCATGGCAGTGATGCCACCAAGCACTGGGGCTGCAAAAGAACAGCTCCAAGGAGGCTGGAGCCCTCAGCTGCAGGCACTGCGTTGCTCTCCCTTTTCTGCAGCAATTCCCATGGATGACTCAAAGGCTTGCAGGTGCCGGCAAGGTGATGCCGTCCTATGGCACAGCCATGGGGATGGATGCTGAGCATGGAAAAAAAGAAATAGAAAAAAAAAAGAAAGGGCAAGAGGAAGTCCCGGCGGCAAATTTGTTGTCATGCACCATCGGCAGGGAAGGGAGAAGGGGCTGCGGGGGGAGAGGCGTCCGACTTCTCTGTAAACAACAGCTCCTGTTTCCTCCTTTCCAACAGCTGATAAGAATTTAGCTCTTTGCGGCCGCTTGTGCTGACGGGGCACATTCTTGCGTGCCGCCGCTCCTGCGAATAATACTAGGAAAAAGCAGGGGGGAAAGCGCAGTGCCGGGGCTAGGGGAGGGCCAGGCTGGGGGCACTGGGACGGGGACGGCACTGCACAAAGGCCCCCTTGTTGCTCCCGACATTCCTGCGCCAGGGGTGTGGGGACTGTTTGCACCCAAAGTCCCCTTCCACTCGGCTTGCCGCCTGATGGACCGGAGGAGAGGGGAGCCGAAGGTGGGGACATGCCTCAGTGCCACGATTCAGGGAAGGGACCCTCCCAGCCCACTGGGTGCCCCCACCCCTGGGGTGTCCCAGGAGCACTGCCGAGATGCTCAGCAAGTCCTGTCAGGATGCTTGAACGCCCCTATTGGAGTGCTCACCAGTTCCCACCAGGATGCTCGGTGCATCCATCAGGACAGCGTGATGCCAAAGGACACCAGCAGGCAGAGGTTTTTAGTGGAGCACAGTTTTTCAAGGAGTACATCTGCTTCCCAAGCCCCCTGGGAAGGCCAGGAGGAAGCACGATGCCTTAGGGGAAGGCAGTAATTGCAGAAATGGGAAGTGGATGGGGAGCGGAGGAGGAGATATGCTTCACCCCCTGCTTTACCATGTTCTGGCTTTGGCAGTGATGTTCAAGCGAGATGCTGCTGGTGGATGAAAGCCAAGGAATTCAACCTTTAGTCCGTGCGTAAATTGTGCTGCGGAACAAAACCCTTTCCCCAATCCAGGTCAGCAGCAATATCACTGTTAACTAGAAATGTCCTGGCATCTTTTCCCCTGGGTTATTATCTCCAGGTGCTTTCTGATGCTAAATCCCTGTTTGTTATGTTGGCCTGTTTTTTCCTCTGCAGCAGCGTTCCCATAGAGGATGGGGTTGGCATTTGGCTCCGATGGGTATGGACTATTATGTAATGGGAGATGTGCCCCCCCAGGCCCTTGCAGGGATGCTGGCAGCAGTGCCAGCAAGGGGAATGGCATGTAGGACTTTATGCAACAGAGCAAGGGCAGTGCTGGAGGGAAAGAGACCTGCCCATGGGTGGGCAAAACAAGGGGTGCTATAGCCCAGGGCTGGTTCACCCAAGCAGTGCCCTTCGTGTCGGGTGGTTGTATCTGTTTTGATGCATATCTATTATATACATACAGCATACATATAGAATCATAGAATTGTCTGAGTTGGAAGGGACCCTCAAGGGTCATCTAGTCCAACTCCCCTGCAGTGATATCTACTGTGGGTATACATATGTGAAGAAGACCTCAGGTTGTCTCACCTTCCCCCCTCTCTGCTAGACATTGCCACCCAGATTGCCTGCCTTGGAGTCACTTGTATGGCAGTAGACACCCAGCTCACCCTCCTGTGTTGCAAGGGAGGGCTCAACCCAGTATGCTTGTTGGCAGTGGGCATTGTAAGGATAGAAGAATAAGCTCCCAGCAGTGCTCCTATCACCAAGCCTTTGTTAAGATGGAACCATCCTTCTCACCTTCCTATGTAGCTGGCTAAAGGTTGCATCTGAAAGTTTTCCAGAGAAGAAGTAAAAATAAAGACTAAAAAAAAAGGAAAAGGAGAGGTAATTGCCAAAATGAGAAGTGGAATGGGGAAGAATGTGGAAAATCAAGCATTTAAATGACTGCCAAGGGTGGGCTGCACGGTATGAGTCAGTTGCTTTATCGTGATGCACCCGATGCTGTGTTTGCTCTCATGACCTCAGTGCACGGTGGTGATGCTCCAGAGCAAAGCAGAGGGCTCACTGCAAATGAAGTGAGGGCTGAGTTTGACAGATAGCAGGTGCTGTGCTGCCAGGGGCTTTGCTTTTGCAAAGTGTGTGTTGAGGTAGGTCACCGTGTGTTTTGCATGCTGGTGTTACACACATAGGGCTGCACTGCACATGCATGCCTGCACTGCAAACATGGAGCTGCATTGCATGCACCAGGCTGCATTGCACATGCATAAAATGTTTTGGCTTTGCATCTTGTCCTAGGGCACTTTGGGTGGCCATCCAGATGGAGTTCCCCATGAGGAAATCAGTCAACACCTCGCAAGCCAAAGCCTTAAAATCTTGAGTGCCTTCATCTGAAGCACATGGAGGGATCATGGGTTGTACACAGGGCCAAAGCAGCATTCCCCCAGCTGGGCTGTGGTACTGGGTCTCTTTTGCAACCCTTCTGATCCTGGCCTCTGCTCCAATGTAGGCACTGGTCCCTTCCACTTCAGCACCTTGCCTTGGCACTGTGTATGAAGGCCCAGAGAAAACTGTCTGGTTTGGGACCATTATACATTTTGGAAGTTGCTTTTCCCAAGAACATTTGTTTTGCCCGCAGTGCCCATTGATTTTCTTTCAAGAGGGGAAGGAACAAAATGAAGCTGATTGAGCCAGCATTCTGGAGTGTTTTATCTGTACTTAAGTACTGAAATGAGATGCGCTTGGTTGTTGCTGCACTGGACACTGTTTTTTGCATCCTTCAGCAGGAAGAAACGGGAGAGGAGCCCTTATTAAAAGATTAAGTTTAATAGCTATTCTTGGCATGCCGTCATGGGCCTGTATTCTTTCTGCAGCTGTCTACGAGCTGTCCCATCTGGTAAAATTTAGCCGTGTTGGTTCGCTTCACCTGCCCAAGCGTCAACACGGCAGAGGGAGGTTGGCAGCCACAGCGCCGCGCTGCTTCTTTCTAATAAAACTCTCTTGCCAGGATCAACATCGCAGACATTTGTGGTAATCGGTGCGGCGTCTGCATCCGGACTGCCGTCCGCGCTGGGCTTGCTAAGGAGCAATAGGAAGAGAATAAATTACAGCAATAGAAAGTGCCTTTAATTACTGTTGTGTGCACACCGGGACCCCTGTCAGCATTGAGAGTGTTTGTCTAGAAAGGTCATCATGGGAAACTCAGGCTTTTTGTGGGCATATGTTGAAGAAGATGAGTGTTTTGGGAGAAGTGCTGCTAGTTTTGAAATACAGTGATCATGAGGCTGTGGAGGTGCCAGCTTGGGACCCAGCAGTCTGTGATCTCTGCAGGAGAGATGCCGTCAAGGCAACAGGTAATGGGTGACGAAGCTATGGTCTACGTTGATAGCTAATGCTCAGGCCTCTACCCTTACAGGTAGACCAGTGGGACGAAATAACAGGAGGATCAACCGTGGTATCGTGGAGGAGTGCTGCTTTCGGAGCTGCGACCTGGCTCTGCTGGAAACCTACTGTGCCAAGTCCGTCAAGTCAGAGCGTGACCTCTCCGCCACCTCCCTTGCGGGCCTCCCAGCCCTCAACAAGGTAGGGCTGCACTCGGGCTGCTAGCTCCCTGAAGCAAGAAAGAGGAGAAAAGGGAGGCCATCAGTAGGGGAGGACTGCTGCTGGCTCTACAATCTGCTGCTTGTGCAGCCAAGGCAGCATGCAGAGCCTTGAAGTGTTTATAGCTGCTGAGGAGTCAAAGAAATTGCAGAAAACAAACTTCTAACCATTGACTCATAGAACGGTTTGGGTTGGAAGAGCCCCCTAGTGATTATCTAGTCCATCTCTCTGCCATGGGCAGGGACACATCCCACTCTTAGATCAGATTCCCCAAAGGCCCATCCAGCCTGGTCTTGAATGCCTTCAGAGAGCGGGCACCCCCAGCTCCTCTGGACAGCCTGTCCCAATATCTTGCCACCTTGTTGTGGAAAACTTCCTCCTTATGTGCAGTTTCCTTCAGCTTAAAATCATTGCCCCTTGGCCAATCCCTATAAGTCCTGGTAAAAAGTTTTTCTCCAGTTGTAGCAAGGTCTCCCTGGAACCTTTTCCAGGCTCAACAACCACAACTCTCCCCACCTTTCCTCATAGGAGAGGTGTTCCAGCTTGCTAATAATTCTTGTGCCCCTCCTCTGTCCACATCCTCCTTGTGCTGCGGACCCAATAGAACCTGTAACATGGGCAACCGTGGGTAGAGGTTACCCCAGGGAAGGTAACCCACCTTGTGGGTTGACACTTGTGTTGACACTGCGTTGTTCTCCTTTTCCCAGGAGAGCTTCCAGAAGCCATCTCACGCCAAGTACTCCAAGTACAACGTGTGGCAGAAGAAGAGCTCGCAGCGGCTGCAGAGGGAGGTGCCTGGCATCCTGCGCGCCCGCCGGTACCGGTGGCAGGCAGAGGGGCTGCAAGCAGCCGAGGAAGCCAGGGCGATGCATCGTCCCCTCATCTCCTTGCCCAGCCAGCGGCCCCCAGCGCCGCGGGCATCCCCTGAAGCGACCGGCCCCCAGGAATGAACTGTGACCAGCCGGCTCGATTTGTGATCTCCCGGGGAGAGACTGGCGAGACTCGGCCCCCCCTGAGCCCCTCCGTCCCCAAGCCGAGGAGCGGGGCGGCAGGCACCATCACGCCGCTCCGGCCCCAACCAAACAACTGACACAAGCAAGGAGGGGATGGCAGCGGCCGTGTGCAGCGTCCTCCTTTTGGGGTGGGGGGGAGGGTTGTTTCGTTTCCCAGGCCTGTTTCGTTTCCCTCGCGCACCCAGTATTTTTCAAGCCTTGTACTTATGAAGGGACAGTTGGGCACTTGAACTTTTTGCTGCCGGGCGCTGAGTGACATCCCCAGTGCCAACACTAGAAGACAAAAGAACGAGCAAGAGGGAAAAAGGATATGAAGTTAACTTTTCTTTTAAATTTTATTTTATTTTTCTCAAGAAGAAGAGTCCATTCCATGTCTTTCTTGACAATAAAGTGAAAAGCAAAAACAAATGGGGAGAGATGTTGAGGGATGTAACTTTTTTGCCTCATTCCCATCCAACTTTTTTTTTTTTTTCTTTCTTTTTCGTTGGTAACTTTTCTTATTTTTATAACTTTTTTTGGCACCTTTAAAAAGAAAATGTAACTGAGACGAAGTTCCGAGGAGTCCCATCTGCATTTTTTGTGTGTGTGCTTAATTACAAGATTCCAAATCGACTTGCACCTTTTTGAAACCATCGCTGACGGGAGAAAGAGAGGAAGAGGAGAGAGAGAGAAAGAGAGAGAAGAAAAAGGAAAGGGGAAAAAAAAAAAAAAAAAGTGGGCTGATGCTCACTTTAAATGGAGGAGGCGTCTGCATTGCACATTTGCCACGGATTTAGTTGATTTATATATATAATATATTATATAACTTTTTTGGCAAAAAAGCACTATTTTTATGGGACATTTTGTGTAGTATCTGAAGAGGGATTGTAATGTTTAAAATGTGTTATGGTGCTAAAGTAAGTTGGAAGGGAAAAAACCCAGAAATAGCAAGGGAGGGTGGGGAGGGAAGAACAAGATAGCGAATACTGAACTTGAAATTTTAGCTTTTCGTTTTAGGAAAAGTGTGATAAATGTGTTTCTTTTCTCTTCTGAAATATAGCTTGGTCATGACCATATGAGCTAGTTGGCTGTCACTCATGTACACAGATGCACGCACACACAGAAATACATCTACACGCATTCTTTTTTTTTTTTCTTTTTTTTCTTTTTTTTCTTTTTTTTTTAAGAAAAAAACAACGATTTAGACTAAAAGGGAACTGTTCTAGATACAAACTATTCTGAATGGCGAAGGTATTGCCGGTTACAACTCCAGGCCCTGCTTCTGCCTGGATCCTGGTGAAGATCAGCTTCTCCATCCTCTCAACCCTGACGGCTTGCTTGCTGTGCGGAAATGCCAGCCCCGTGTCCCTCTGTCTCCTTTTCCTTCTCTTGCCCCTTGCGTTCTTCTTGCGGAACCCCCTGCCCTCCTCCCCTTGCCCCATGCCCAAGGCTGTGGAGGATGACCCTTGGGAACGATGGGGACCCTCCCCACATGGGGCAAGCGTCCCCCCGGCATAGTGGCCTCCACCAACGCGATGGCCTCAGTCAGCATGGTGACCTTCATCAGCATGGTGGCCTCAACCAATGTGATGGCCGTGGTCAGCATGATGGGCGGTCTCCGTCAACATGGTGGCTTCCATCAACATGCTTTCCTCCATCACTGTGATGGCCTCAGTCAGGATGATGGATGACCTCCATCAGCATGGACAGCCATCATCAACGTGGTCTCCATCAACATGGATGGCTTCTGTCATCACGGTGGCCTTTGTCAACCTGGTGACCCCCATCAGTGTGGTGGCCTCCTTCTGCCTGATGGCTGGGATAAGTTCCCAGGCGGGGAAAAGGCAAGTATCTTGCTTGCGGCCCAGGACTCAATGATCAGATGGGTTGGAGAGGTGGGCAGAGGGCTGTAAAATAGGTTGGTTTTTAAAATAATATATATTATCTGTCTAGGAACCATAAAAAGGGGGGAATCAATTACATCTCCCTATGATATACTCTCACTTGCTAATAAAACGGGGACACTCTGTTAACCAGTTCTGTACTTGCTTTGTCTTATATATCCATACATTTAAAACAAACAAAAAAAAAAAGACTACTTGAATTGTATTCTATTTCGTGGTTTTGAGGGGAGGGCTAGGGGAGTCTCAAGAGAGGGAGGATTTTAATGTATAATCATTTTGTTTGTTATTACCTTGCAATGTTGAGCCATGAAGCCTTTGTTTAAAAAAAAAAATGGCACTGCAATACACAACAAAGAAAATCCTTTATTTATTTTATTAAATATATATGGAAAAGAATGAAAATTGGTCCAAATTAAAGGGGGGGAGAGGGGGGAAGGGAAGAGGGTGGGGTGGGAAGGCAGAACAAAAACAGCAATTGAAAATAATTGATTTTTTTTTTCCTTCCTTTCCATGTGTCTTTTTTTAAAAGAAACCTAGTTTTTATTTTTTAAAAAGAGAAGTAAAAGCTTTCCTGGATGCTTTGTACCAAAAAAAAAAAAAAAAAAAGAAAAAAAAAAAAAGAAAACCTGTTAAGCAAATAAATATCCATCCAGAATACAAAGCCTGACTTTTTCTTTTAGTTTTGGTTTATTTTTGCTCTTGGGGTTGGAGTTGGGTGGGAAAAGGCCACACCAAACAACAGGAGACCTTAATCTCAAGTCCTTTCCAATTCATTGCAGGTGTAGAAAGTTTGGGTCTGTTCCTGTCCCCACCCCAGCACCTGCCATTGACCTTCAGTTTTGTTTGCAGAAATGGGTGTCCTTCTGTGGGATGAGGACTGATTTAATTGTAGCTTCTGGTGTCTGCTGCTGGAAGTTTTGTTTGGCATATTTGTTACCTTTCTGCTTTTTTTTTTTTTTTTTTTTTCCTCCTGCATAAGTCGTGGTCATGGGGGACATTCAGAGATGACTTAAAAACAGGTGAAACTTCAGCCACATCTCTTGCCTGCTTCCACAGCAAGCAAACAACTGGGGCTGGGAGCTCAATAAGGATGCCAATGCCATTTCCAAGCATTGCATTGATGCTGCTGGAAGTGTCCTCAGCTTTGGGCAAAGCACTCAAAATCCCCTCTGTTATGCAAAACAAAATATATTAGGGACTTTGGCACTTGCATGGGTGCACTGAGCTCTCTTACTTCCTGGGATACCAACAACCTTGACAACTTCTGCATCCTGGTGCTTGTGGTGCTTGCATCGGTGGAACAAATACACAGAAACAGGTTGAGGTTTGGGTAGTGAGGCCAGGGATACTGGCAAAGAGTGGGAGAACATCTGCCGCTGCACATCAGAAAGTGGCTCTTTTCCACCTCAACTGCCATGGGGCCAGAGCAGAGTGATAAATCTGGGGTCATTTTTTGGAAAACTGGGAAATTGCTTAAAATGTGCCCTCTGGCTCAGCGAAGAGCACACTGGCTTGCAAGGGTAGATCCAAGCAGCCCCAAGAAGCTCTGAGCCTGCTCTTGTCCAGCAAGGTCCCTTGAGTGGGTGAGACTGGCTGAGATGGAAACTTTGCTTCTTCTGAGAGTCCTCAAGGTACTTCTGTTGCCTGCAAATCTCCATCGCAGGTCAATAGATAAATCACAGGCATAACTTGGAAATCCCTGGGGAGGATTTCCACAGCTTGGAGTGGGTTTGGACACCCGAAGACCTCCAGTCTGTCTGATCCAGTGACTTCCTGTGCTCTTCTGACATACACAGGGACAGGGAAGCAAAGAACTACGCCAGCAGAGAAATCTGTAATGGTGTTTGGTGCCCCGTGAAAAATCACTCCCTTGGTCTCAGTGCTATCGTTGAGCTCTGCAGAAGGCAAAGGGCAAGAGACTTTTGCACAAAGCATCACCTCCAGAGAGCATTTTTCCCATGAGATTCCCATTGGGATAGAGGAAAGGAAGGAGCATGCAGCCCGCTGCAGGGAGGTGGACACAGCCTTGGCAAGGTGTGTAAATCACCATCTTGACTTACTCTGGGTATGGGGAGATTTGGGGGGGTGGAAGGGAGGGGAGAGGGGGGATACTAATCATATACTTTTTTTTTCTTTTTCCATTCTTCTTATGTTATTTCTGAGATCAGATTTCATTTATAAATCCAGAAAGCAGCTGGGCTGTTTTCTTAGTGTTCAACGAGTAGTGCCAATGCTGTCAGGATAGACTAAACCTACAGACTGATTCCTTTACTTTCTTGTTCCCTCAGAGCTCCATTCGTTTCATCCTTCTGCTCTGAAAAGCTTTTTTTTTTTTTTTTTTTTTGGTGATGTACCTAGCTGCACTAAACGAAGGGAAGAACTGTATTTGTTGTTTTTGCTGATTTGTTTTTTAAAAGTTTTTTCTTTTTCTTTTTTCTTTTTTTTTTTTTTGTATATACTATTGTCCACCAATGTTTTGTATGAGAAGCCTGGGAAAGGCATTGATTCATCACCAACAATGTCACTTGTCTGCACTCAGCAATAGGCAAGATGCACACTTCCCAGACTGTGCACCTATTGTACTTTCCACTGTTAATACATTATCAATAAAGCAAATCAGCTATAAGAACCTTTCACATCTGGTGTCTTTTCTCTCCCCGCTTTGTTGCTGCACTCCCAGCTGCCTGCATCCCAAGGAATGCCTTGCTCATCAGAATCATGCCAGCTTTTGCAGAGAGCCCTGCAAGATCCTCTTTCCCTGCCTTCTCCTGGTATCTGCCAACACTGATCTGAAAGCTGAGGTTTCCAGCCTGCTAGGATCTTGCTTGGCAAAGAGTAAGGACATGGAGAAGGGAATCTTTTATTCTTCTAGCAAAATAAACAAATAAAAATGCAGATTATTTCACAGTTTTGAGGAATACCACAGTGGAATGTTAGAACTGAGAAAAAAAAGGCACAAACTCAGTGGTCTTGGCTTTGACTTGTCACAGCTTAATCTATGAAACAGCCACTTGACCTCCAGTAATGAAGCAAGGGAAAGAGATTTTCAACGAAACATGGCTGGAAACATCACTGGTGTCTTAGACACAGAAACATGAACTGTGAGCGCATTTTGGATACAAATTTCTTAATTTCATGACAGGAGCACAGGGACAGTTGGGGGGTACCCTTCCAGACAGACAGAGTATGTCCCCATCACTCTTTCTCCTAAAAAAAATCATCTGTAATAGGAATTTTTGATACTCGATTATCCTTTCTCAAGCCACAAGGGCAGGCTGATAATGGTAATCTTTGTATTCTTCACAGCTGGGTCACAGCCGCAAAGGGAGGGAGGCGATTAGGAGAATATTAAGTCTTCATCTTCCAAGACGTTGTTGCTTCTGTTCTTCCTCCCTCTCTCCTCCGTTCCCCATGCTTAGCAAAGAAAGCGGCAGGAGTATTATTTCTCAAGGCCCATAATGACGTCAATACGTGGGGTATTTATTTATGAAATTGAATCTAACAGTGGGGGAGAGAGTAGCGGAGGAAGATGGACGCGCAGAGCCAGCAGCTGCCAAGCTAGAATAGAGCTGCAACCTTACAGTATTTTTCTACCCTCTTTCTGTGGGAGGGACACAGTGTCCGGAGCTTCAGAGACCCAGGAAAAGCAAAGAGAAGAGAGAGAGAGAAAAAGGCAAACTTGATGTTGAGAGCAAAGGAAAGGTTCAGTAAGGGGATGTCCTTAAAGAGGTAAATAGCCTGTTTTTGATGCTGGGATATTCAGATTTAGTCCTTCTCCAGGAAGGGTAGAACTGCAAACACCTGCCTTCAGGAAGGCTTTGACCAGGCTTGAGCAGCCCTTTCCTCTAAGCCTGTTCAGTCTTTGTAAAGAAAAATCACAGAGGGTTGAAATTCCAGCCCAGGGACTTAATTTCTCCTTTTGACTCCCCTTTCTCACTTGTTACTTCAGGCTCAGACAGCAAAACAATCATCTAGGAAGCATAGCAATAAAGTTAACATGAAGATTAAGTTGTCCCCTGCAATCAGTGGCAAGCAGCTTTCCAGACTAGAATCTGCATCTGTTGATATCACCATTTGCTCAAACATAAAAGGTGAAAGCCAAAAAGGGAGAGTAGTTTCTTCTCTACAAACTCAGGAGCAGAGCATCCCTAGGGGTTGCCAAGGAGTGTGAGGAGCACAGATCATAGAATCAGAAAGGTAGGAAAGACCATAAGATCACCTAGTCCAAACAGCAATCCATACCTGTAAATGATGACTATGACAACGTAATGACTTCGGCTTCAGCTCTAATGAGCGCTGGCAGAAGACATCTTTGGGCATCTCTCCCTTTGCTTAGGTGAAAGTTTAGCCAATAGGGTACAGGTTTGGGTTTCTCTGGTAGGGTTTGTCTCAGAAGAGAGGAGGAAGCAGACTGAACATCATCCTCTGTGAGTAGGCAATCACTCACTGGCTTAGAAGTCATGCATGGAATTGTTCCCTCATGGATGGGAATAGAGAAGGATGGCTTTTGCCCCTCCCAGGTAGCATAGAATAGTGCTAGGAAATGGGAAGAGGGAATAGGAAAACTCACAAATACAAGCATAGACATCAAACAGTACTAAAGGAACCACAAAATCTCACAGGCTTCCCAGAATTGCCCGACTGACTTCCTATCAACGTGAACAAGAAGGTGATGCCCTGAGAAACTGCCCCTGCAAAGGCTTTGCTCACCCCTGCCACTGCTTTTTGTGCCCTTGCAAACAGCACCAAGGTATCATCAGCCAGCCTGGAACTTATTGTTTATCCAAAATAAGGCAAGACAGACATGCTCTGGAGATCTGTTTACAAGTCAGGCTATCTCCAGTTATATAATGACACAAGCCTCGCTGCCAGCAAATTGTTGCTGTGAGCAGGGGAAGACAATTAGATCGCCTCTCCGGGCAGCGAGCGCGGACAATGCAGGCTTTGTGCCACCCGGCCACCAGCCCCGGCATCTGCGGCATGTCTTCAGAGGAAGAGGTGGCCTGGGGAGGGCTTGGGGCGCCGGAGCCGGGCTGAGAGCACCTTCCTGTCCTGGCAACGAGGGGATGACGGTAATGGGTCGTCGCGCCGCGGGGCAGAGCGGCTCTGACCCCTCGGCTGCACACGGGATGGGAAGCTTCGGTGTTTGGCTTCCTGTGCTTCCTGGTGTGCTGATGGATTTAGGCACTCGCTGAAGCTCCTGGCACTGCTTGCGGAGTCAGTGGAAAAAATGTGGTATCGAGAGATGGGAAATACCAAAGCCTCTCAGAAATGCACTCGCTTAAAAGGGAAAGGTGGTTTCCGGGTGAAAATGCATTCCTGTCCTCCATGGATGGAGAAGGGAGGAGGGCTTTGGAAAAGCCAAGAGTGCTGTAATGAA